ATCTCTCTCTATCTCCCTCTCTCCCTCTCTCTCCAGGAATACCAGCAAGGCTGTTGGCAATTATCTTTGGCTTTCTCTCTTTCTCCCTCTCTCTCTCTTTCTCCCTCTCTCTCTCTCTTTCTCCCTCTCTCTCTCTTTCTCCTTCTCTCTCTCTTTCTCCCTCTCTCTCTTTCTCCCTCTCTCTCTCTCTCTCCTCTCTCTCTCCCTCCCTCCCTTCCTCCCTTCCTCCCTCTCTCTCTCTCTCTCTCTCTCCCGCTCTATCTCTCTCTATCTCCCTCTCTCTCTCCCGCTCTATCTCTCTCTCTCTATCTCCCTCTCTCCCTCTCTCTCCAGGAATACCAGCAAGGCTGTTGGCAATTATCTTTGGCTTTTACCTTGTATATGGTAGAAGATATATAACTAGATAAACACAAAACTAATTTGTTTACCAGATAACCAGCTATGCATTTGCTGAAGTTTGAAGGTTGTTAGCGATGTAGTACTGTGCAGCTGTGTCTGCTGCACCAAGCGGTTCCACGTTCTTGTGTATTTTGGTAGGAAGGATCGCAAGGAGGTTTCTGTCCTGGCGAAGGGAACAGCGATCTATTGGTCTCTTGCGTCGACAGTGCGAGTTGTGTAGTTGAGCTGTGTTACCCACGAAGCGATATGTGCTGTCTTTGCACTTTGTACGTGACACATAGACCCGCCACGTCGCGTCGTTGCTGTAAGTGTTGTGGGCAAGGAAGCGGTTGATCTGGTCGGACTTTCTCTGTACCATGTCTAAGAGGACGATCGTCCGGTCGTGGACAGGAAAACCATGTGAGAAGTGCATATTCCATGACAGTATCTACCGTGATTAACCTGACTGGTAAACCTATTCATGGTCAACCTCACCCCCTCTTGATTGTCCTGTCTACGACAAGGACTGGTCAGACTGAAAACGACCTGCTTGCCTGCCTCATTGACTATGATGCAGTGGTAGTCCAGAGCTACACTATTTCTCCCAGAGTCCATTGCCGTGATTAGCTTCCGTAGACCTGATTTGATATCGGTGGAGTGTCCTACCCTGTCCAACTATATCAACACCTTCCCTGTCAGTGTCAGAAATGTTGGCGTTTTGGCCATCCTGCCAAACATTGTCGTTTCACAGGCCGCTGTCCTCTATGTGCCCAATTTGATCATGACCGGTCAAATTGCTCTGCTCAATCGCGCACGTGCGCCAATTGCAGTGGCCCCCATAATGTATTTTATAGGAGCTGCTATGCCTACAAGTTCGAATCTGAGTTAGCAGTTCTCAGATTCAAACTAGGCCTCACTCTACGTGAGGCCAGACAAGAAGCCTTTCCAAAACTGACCTTCGCTCCCTTCCCATCGTCTTAAGAAGTGTTAGCATTTCCCCCAATATCCCTTTCCTCTACCCCAAACCTCTACTCCTCTCCGCCAGTCAAACTGTTTTTCGTCTAAATCCAGACACTCCAATTTCTACCACTACCTACCCTTCCTCCTCACTTTATATGTCGCACCAGGCAATCTGAACGTTCCACCCCTTTGTTTTTCATGCCTTCAACTCCCCTCCAGAAACATCCAAAAACTTCCTAAACATGACCCAAGAGAAATACTCCGGTCCTTCGTCCACCCTCCAATCTCTGTCCCTATTCCCTCTACATTCAAAGTAGTGGCCGATATCCATCCTCCTCCTCCTTTTTTTCTCTATCTCTTTGTTTTTCTCTGTTTTTCTTTTCTATCCCTTTTTTCTTTCTCTTTCTCTGTTTTTTTCCCTCTTTCTTTTTCTGTTTTTTCTCCTTATCTCTCTTTCTCTTTTTCTCTTTCTCCGTTTTTCTTTCTTTCTTTCTGTTCTTTTTCTTGTTCTTTTTCTGTTTTTTTTTCTCCGTTTATTTTCTCCGTTTATTTTCTCTTTTTCTCTTCTATTTCTTTCTGTTTTATCTGTCTTTCTTTCTTTCTTTCTTTCTAGTTTTCTCTCTAGTTTTCTCTCTAGTTTTCTCTCTAGTTTTCTCTCTCTCTCTCTCTCTCCCTCCCTCTCTCTCTCTCTCCCTCCCTCCCTCCCTCCCTCCCTCCCTCCCTCTCCGTTTCCCCTTTTCTCCTTTTTTTCTTATTTTTGTTTTTTTCTATTTTTTCTCTTCTCTCTCTTACCCAATTTCTCTCTCCCTCCCTCCCTTTCCTCTAATAATAACAGGAGGAGAATGGCAGTCACTCTGAGTGTAGAGGAAATTAGAGATTTGAGAGTCATGTTTTTAGGTCATGATTATAAAGTTTTGAACGTCATCAAAAGTTCCTGAAAGGGCGTTTGTTGGAGAGGTCTGAGAGACGACGATCTGATGAGGGAGAGGAGGGGCCAGACGTCTGAGGAACAGAGGAATGGTTACAAAGCAAAATAAATGTGCTTGATATCCAAGGTCACATAGCACTATAGAAATGTTGTAGTAGCGAAGGGGGTAGAGCGGGGAGTAGGTTGATGATTAAATGTAAAGTGGGTAGAGAGGTTGAGTAAATGGGTTAATGTAGGGATTAACAATATAAAGCAAAGTTGCCAAATGAAAAAAAATGTGGGATTCTATAAGGGCGTCCTTGGGGTAAGGTAAGAATTAGCAAAAGGGAAAAGGGGGGTTATGGCCGACCAGGTCAAAGAGCAATTTCAGGAGAAATGTCAGGAGAGCGAGGATCCAGAGAAGGGTAGTGTTGTGACAATTGCGTGTCTCATGTCTCCAGGAGAGAGCGGGAGGTATAGTAGAGAAGGAAGTAGGTCGGGGCGGGATGCAGATGATGCAGAGGAATGTGATGTGCTGGAAGGAACGAGTTTAGGAGGAACATGAGGAGGAGGAGGATGGAGATCGGCAGTTATTTTGAGTGTAGAGGGAGTGGGAGCACAGAGATTGGGAGATGGATGAGGTATAGGCATGTTATCTCGGGTCATGGTTAGACCGTCCTGAATGTCCTCAAGTGTCTGAAAAAAGAGTTGGCTGGGGAGGTCTTAGAACCGAAAGTTTTTTTTTTTTATAAGGGGGAAAAGAAGCGTCAGACGTATGAAGGGAAGAGGAATTTTGGAGAGGATACGGTAGATGGGGTGGAACGATTAGATCAGGTGTCAAACACGCGATACGCGGTACATTTGCTATTTCAATCTTACAATCGGCCGTTCTTCGTATTTTAAGATTATTAGTTACACTTTGTTTTTTTTTGTTGTGTTTTTGTAATGAAAGAAAATGCCTCCTGCGTTTTCACGCCAACCATATATGGCCGTTCCCTCGACTCATGATTACCTGGCCCGCACACTGTATACTAAGGTGGGCCCCCTGGAGTGAACGAGTTTGACAGCCTCTGGGTTATATTTGTCTGATGCGAGGAGGAGGAGGAGGAGGAGGAGGGGGATAGGCACCGGGGAAGTAGAGATTGGAATATCTGGATTTAGAATAGCAAAATCATTTGATTAAGAGAGGGATGGAGTAAAAGTGGAAGCGTAAAGAGGAGGACGAGATGCGGGGGAGATATGAAAACATTTTGAGGAGAAGGGAGAGGTAGAGCGAAGGACAGCACTGGAGTAGGCAGCAAGAGAAAAGCTCGTCGATGTGCTTCCTGTCTGGTTTCGAGTAAAGTGAAGCCATGTTTGAATCTGAGGACTGCCACCTCAGATTCGAACTTGTAAGTAGAGCAGCCCCTACAAATTACATTATGGAAGCCACCACAATTGGCACGCGTGCGGGAATGCGCAGAGCAGTCTGAACGATCTGGTTAGGTTGGGCACATTGAGGGCAACGGGCTGCAGAGCGGAAGAGCATGGTAGGGTGGCCAAAACGCCAAAATTTCTAACTTTGACGGGGGTGGGGTTGATATGGTGGAACAGGGAAGGATTCTCCAATATAAGTCATGTGGGAGGTCATGTCTACGGAATGTACTCTTGACAATATTGATGTATGACTTTCATAGGCCTCTGGGGCGGAATAGTGTAGCACTGTACTGATACTGCATCATAGTCTACGTGACAGGCAAGCAGGTCATTTTCAGTCTGATCAGTCTGTGTCGTAGATTGGTCAATCAGCCGGGGAGATGGAAACAATTCCATTACAAGTATCAGGGAGGAGCGAGGCTGGGCAAGAATAAGTTTGCCAGAGAGTTCAGCTTGAGACTCAGATATAACTGCTATTTGTTTTTGGAGGCACTGTTGAAAAAGGAGGGTATTGTCAGTGTAGGGGGCTGTAGGGGGAATCACAAAAATCGATCCTGCTTAGGTAGGCTAAAAAGAGTACGCATAATATTTGTAGAGATGGAAGTAGTTGACAGCAAGATGAAGAGGGTGGTATTGAGTGATATAATATTGCTTGGAGGTGGATAATAAAGGATGAAGTAGTAAGGGAGGAGGGGGTTGAAAATGTTGAAAACTGTAGAGGGTGTTGGTTGGGGTTGTAGGAGGAGTTGTTCAGAGTTGTGATCAAATGAGAGATAGAGGGCGGGAAACCGGAAAAGTCAATGGGGCTAGTTGATAAAAGGGGAATCTTCAATGCCACTAATAAGACAAAATAATCATTACTGGTCAAGGTAAGCCTCCAGTATGGGGAAGAGAAGTGGTTTGCCCCTCAGGGTCCCCATGAGATGAAAGGCCTAGATTACTAAATAGTTGAATATTGTACCTATGACTTTCTGAAGCCATTTGAAACTGACCCAAAGCCAGCCTTTTATTATTTGAGCCGAGGCCTGTTTCCCCCAGCATTGGGCCTTAGTCTCCATCTCCTAAGCCCCTCCACAACTACATTGGGCATGGGGTTGGTGGCAGGGGATATCCTGTACAAAAGATGAATTGGTTTTACACTGACTATTGTATTCTTATTACATTTCAAAGGTATAACAAAACTAATTTCTTATGACAAATGATCTTTGGTTGTAATTTTTTCCTTTCTTCTTCCATGCAAACTGTTTCATCATTCCTTTAAATTGTAACCTCTTTGTTGTATCAGATTCTTGGGCTATTGGTATCTTAAAAGTAGTTTTTGTGATAGCAAAAGACAATGCAAGTACAAAAATTATTTTATTATCACGTATGACCACGTAGGGCATAATGCTTAAAAGAATACACCAAAATGTGGGCAGTTATGACAATGTTCCGTTGACAAATGCTCGGCGAGACATTTTTTAAGGCAATGAACATTCTTGCCTTTCAGTAATATTGCAACATATTAACAGTGAGTGTCGGTCCCGTATAGCAGCTAAATCTTAGGAAGTAATTCTGAAACGCCACTTCGAGCAAAGTAATAAAGCAGGTTTGTTTGTGGTTGTTGAATGATGGTTGGCTAGTAATATGAGAGGTAGCACTTCCTCGCTACTGATGAGGTGTCTTCTAGGAACTCAGCCTAAATTCGTCACACTGTTCTGTGCCTTATTAGTAGGAGCTCTAAGATGGGAGACTGTTACTATTAATACAGTTATAATGTGGCAAGACCGCCTACTGAAATACTTCACAAGGATCAACTCACGCTGGAGTAGGCCCTCTTGATCCTACTGCTTTTCTTCTTGGTAGGTGCTGTGATACACAGTAACAATACCATTTATACTAAACATCTACACCATCCAAATCTGATCTTGCCACAGTTATGAGAAAACAGTGGAACAGTCTTCATGCAAAACACACAAATACCCGCACTGTCGGGTAAAAAACATTAAGAGATGGATCGTACCTGACCCATAAGAAAACACCTGACCTCAACATCTCGGTAAAAACGTACAAAAATTGCTCATACTCTTATACACATTTCAGTTGCCAATGTTTCATAGCTGAAGATGCAACCTATACATCATCCATGAGGACTCCTATAAATAATCATGCATTTTCATTTTTTAAAATAAAACGGGCATAAAAATGGATGTTTAAAAATATGTTCTCCTTAAACTGATTCTTGAATTAGTCTGCAACTGCATTTTACAAAATTTCACTACACTTACAGATTGGGAGAAAAAAAAAATAATAATAATAATAATAAAAAACTTATCCTAGTAAATCATAATTTAATATACATAATCAGGAAGATTGAATGGCAGGCACAATAATTGTTACATTCACAACTCACTACAAAAAAAAGAAAAAAAAAAAAAAAAAAAAAAAAAAAAAAAAAAAAAAAATTACAGTCGACCAAAATTCGAGCTGCACCTTGCCATTCAAGGTCTTTCACAACTTGATTTATGCAACAATCCTCACACTGCACTCACTCCCATACTACAATGCTGTACAAGTAATATCTACACGTATTTGTTGCATCCCCATCCTTAGGAAGCACATGCATGCAGCCACTCAAGGATGGGGAGTGACTTGGAGATCTTTCTGGACGCTTCAGTTGTAATGTGAAACCATCAACCAAAGGGTTAAAATTGTCAAAAGGGGGGTAGGGGAGGGGAGGGAGGAAGTTAGTTATGACAATGACAATCGTAATAATCAGACTAAGATTTAAGCCAAGTTGTCCAATAATCATAACAATATGAACTAGAATCAGAAGGAAAACCATACAAAAAGAAAACATTAATGGGAGCAGCATCTCCACAGGTAAAAATTAATATTATACATGTAATAATAGCAAATGGGATCACATTGTCTGAAGCTTCTGGCCATCAATATGCTCCTGTAGTCTGAGTAGTGATGGCACCCACAATTAGCGTTAACTTGGCTTGAGACGTTTCCACTCTTTATTCACACAGTTACATCACGGCTTTGCTTATCCATACTTATTACAGGTGGAATACTGTTTTCGTGGCCTTTTCATTTGGTAAACCGTAAATGAAAAGTGTAAACAGTAAATGAAAAGTGTAAAAGGAAATTAGATAAGTAAAAAAAGGAGCACTGTACCACATAACATAACATAACCTTTTTGTTACAATAAACAAATTCAACAGTGTGTGGCAGCCAACACAAAGTATATTACAAATGGCATCAAGACAGTGCCATTCAATTTCCATGAGTAACATAATACTTTTTTTTTTAAGACAAACCTCACTCTTTGTTTCATTCTAAAAAGAGAAAAAAAAAATCACAAGATAAAAAAAACAATAAATATATAAAAATGGATGAATATATTACAAATTCTTTTTGAGCATCATTTCCCTAATATACCCTAGTGTGAAAGGAGGTTGCTTATAGTGTGATTGTTTACAAGAAATGATCCTAAATCATGATGTCAACAACATGGAAAAAAGAAGCTAACATGGATAAATAAATAGAGAATAGTTATAAATTAAGAAAATCATAACTGTAATCATGTTAACAATAATGAATAATGTTCACTCAGTTTTATGAAAAAAAGTATATATTACAAAACAATAGTAAGACACCATAAGGGTAATGGAGCATATCAAAAAACTTCTGGACTGATCATATACCTTGCTTGAGCTTGTAGGTTGTACACTCTACAAATATCAACAAACAAAAATACGATAAGCAGCATGATAGAACAAGCTGCAACAATGAAAATCATGTGAGGTAGTCAGTGTATATCATGGCTAAACTCAACATCCTTGTTCTGTTTCTTGTGTTTTGTTTTCCTTTCTTTTTTTCTCTCTCTCTTTTTCTTTCTAATATTTTCTTTTCTTTTCGAGTTCTTTTTAAATAAAAGAGAAAATTGCTATCCATATTTTCCATTCTCTTTTTTTTTTCTCACAAATTAGGAAAGGGAAATTTAGCAATCCCCTTTTTCTTCTCCTCCTTTGATTCTTTCTCTCAGTCCTCGTTTTTTTCTAAGCTGAGTGAACTGTAACTACTAGAAAACCATACAACATACAAGATACTTTTTTATCAGTTATTCTTTTGTTTTTTCACAATCTATATGTATACACATTACCATGTAAGTCTAAATACTTCCCTCATATTGGAATATTCAAGCTGGACTACAGAGAAGAACACCATGATCACACATACACAATAAAAAAAAAAAAAAAAAAAGTAATGTTTCCCACGGCACTCTAAGAAACAGTTTCTCTGTTGACCGTGTGCAGTCTTGTCATCTTGTTCCAACCTCTGACGTAGTATGGGTAAAAGACCAATCGAGAGCTGCAATTCTATAAAAGTGTGAGCACCTTAAGAAGTGATTACCCTTAAACAGCTTCCACTCGCAGCGCATGAGTCGTTGAGCAGACAGCTTGAAGAACCATCTCGCTGTACCTTCTCACAATCATTTCCAGAATTATCACAGTCTTCCTAAATCCTGGCCTGGTGGTGTTACAGTGATCTTCCTGATTCACACCAAAAATAAAAAAAAAATTCCAAGTAAAAAATAATAATAATTTCTTTCCTGAATATCTTAATACCAAATTTAAATTACATTGCACATAAAATTCACTTGAAGTCTTGACATACACCACTTTTTAAATGGTGAAACTTCAAAAATCCTTTAACAAAAGGGATATATTTTTTTAAAATGTTAAAACACTGAGGACAGAAAGGAATACTTTTCATCCACATCAAACATAGTTAACAGTTCAAATCACCAGCTAAATTTATCTCTAAGAAAAGGGAAAAAAAAAAAAAAAAAGTATAAATAAAACTGATCAAAATAAAAATGCATTGGCTGATGATTGTAAAACAAGGCAAAACTAAAAGCACTTGTGTACACTGTAATTCCTGAGAGCAAGGGTTGAGAGTCCGAGCCAGATTCCTAAGCATTAATTAAGAGCCAGAGAAGAGAGGCAAAGGACTGCCCTACATTAAAAATTTCTAGAAAAGAATTTTTTTCCTATGATATAACAAAATCTCTTCAATACAGAATTTTTCTTTTCTTCTGGCTAATAAGTGATGCATAGAAATGAAACCCTGGTACTACAAGAGACCATCTGACAAGACATTATCTGAATATACAAAAAGTCTGCACTAATGTTATCACAAATTCAACCCCTCTTACATGACACTACTAATTTATTTATTTATTTATTTTTTTTACTGTAAACTGGAATCATTTCATTAAGAAAAAAACATTAATCAAGAAGATATTCATAGTCATCCAGATTGATATTATACTATACCCATGGGTACAATTTTTTTTCTTTCTTTTTCATCATCTTTCAGGTGAGGGTAATTCCGTATTGATCACATTAAGCAGAATCTTCACATATAATCGTCAACCTTGTAGGCTTCAGCTACCTTCCAAATGTCAGCAGCAGCCTCACAATAAGGAGCCCGGGCAAAAAAGAGATCATGGTGCGTTGAGCGTTGAGGGTGTCCAAGTTATGCTGGATCATTTCTCAATCGATAAGACCTTTGGGAAAATCTTCGTCCTTGTCACTTGCTCATCATCCACAGCACAGGGGGATGCTTCCACTCTAGTACCCAGCAGTCAATACATGTATATGGTAGGGGGACGAGGCCATATCACACACACACATTACCCTTAGTGTACATGGCAGTGATTTGTCTGACTAAGGAACTGGCACATGAAGCCTCAAACATTTCTCATGTGAGCCTTTTTTATTTTCTCTCTCTCTCTTTCTGTTCAACAGTCATATATATCAATTCATTGAGACTTATCATTATTTCACTGCTTCTGCAATATACTCTCGTGATCCTGGGTACATCTTCACAGAGTCAGTCGTACTTTAAGCTTACACTCGCCTTTAAACAGTCAATTCACTGACCTTGTCATTTTTCTTATCTTTCCCTCTCTTTTTTTTATTTTTTTATTTTTTATTTTTTTTTTTTTACTAGTGAGCCCTTTCATGAAATCAGATTCTATGGAAAAAGGTGAATGTATGATATGAAAGTTGTAAATCAATGATTAAAAAAGAAGAAAAAATAAAGAATGATCCCATCCTACAAACTGTAAAGACCTGGACCATGTGTTGGTATCCAATCGCAATGGTAAATGCCTACACTCTGATTTACGATTGTCAGCATACTTGAAATAATTTCAGGTCAAATGCAAGGAATCAGACTTTACCACCTTAATATGGACCAGTCCCAACAGTTTATGAATCTTGAGCTCTCTCTCTCTCACTTTCACACAAGTGTACTTAGATTCACACAACCTGCGTCTCTGTATGCTCTTTCACAGGCATGTTTAGGGGCACTAAGTTCTTTGACGCTAGTGTTTGGCGTCCTGTCAATCCCACTGGTGTGGGGAAGGCGGGAGCTCTGAAGGATGAGCAACTGTCGAGCTGAAAGATAAAATAAAAACATCTTAATAATCTGACCATTTTTATGAAATAATATTGAATATTACATCAAAGTTTACATTATTTTTCTTTTCAAACCACTATTTTCAGTAACTTTCACTTTAAAAATCAAGATAATACCAGACAAATCACATTCACAAGGGATATTAGAAAAACAATTTCATTATTACTGAATATGTATCACCTGGCATTCCTTAAAATAAATTCAGTCAGTAACTTCTATTCCTTCTCGCATGCAGTTTAGACTATATAAAATAAAAAATCAAGTATATACAGCAGAAAAAAGACAGTGGAAAGTACAATTATCTCAAAAGTTTTACTACAAGAAACTGCAAATGAGCAAATTACAGAAAGGAAAGCCTGGCTCCTTATTAAGTAATCAGTTCTTAATCAACCACATTCAAATGGCCCAACCAATCAACCCATAAATCAATTTACTTGAACCTAAATCAATGATTCTCCATGGGGCTGTATCTCACCCTAGTGATGTAATTAAACAAGTCATCATTTGCATACTTTTATTTACATATGACAAGATGTTACATATAAAAAATACCCATCATTCAAGGATGACGTGAAGAGCACTAGGTTTCCAGAGAAAAGTCTGCTACTTGGTAAAAACAGATTTCCTTTACAAAACATGAATTATGACTAGAGGATAGAAACACTGGGAAATCAGAAATCCCACTGGTAGCAATGCAAGCAATCACTGTTCAATTGTTATCCTTATCATTAACATAATGTCAAATGTAACTGATATTGTGATCAATTTTGAGTTAGTGTATTCTTAAGTTCAAGAAGATAAAAAAAAAGGAATAATTTTCATACAGAATGTTAGTCCATATATTACAAGAAAAAAAAAACTTAGGCGATTCAACACATCAAATATCATTTGGTGATATAACCACAGGAGGAAATTATAATAATCAATTTTTGAAGTGTAATGGGCTGAGTTAATGCAAGATGACCATGGTATATGCTACAGAAAGATCATTCAGAATACTGAAAGTTGGCCAATGAGCAAAACAATTGCACAATTACTACTTCAAAACAAGTTAGTCTACTAATTTGTATTTCATTCTGATAATGTTTAAGGAATTGCAAACAAGAAAAAAAATATTTATGTATATAACCTTATTCTAAATTAGAACTTCTCTTGAAATAATATGGGAAACATTACATACATCTGCCCTATTTTTTATTATTTTTCAGCTACAATATATTGAATTTCCTCTTCACTTGCCAAAAAGATATATAATTTCATCAAAGAAGAATATTCTTAGATTTTGAAATAATGCAAGAAAAATATTTTTACACCCCTGACAAAAAGAATGAAAAAAAATGTATTGTTAATTTATTGATAATATGAGAGTATGCACATCTGAAAATGTTCTCAGACCCATTGCCTACCAATAAATCAGTTCAATGTTTTGTTAAATCTAAACTTTCATCTACAACATAAGCATCAATAGATTCATATTAGTGCACTCTACATCACAGTTTTAGTGCATTAACGTGAACATATCAGTGCTGGGGTTATAGATGAAAATCTAAATTAACAAAACCATTTACTAAATGCATTCTTAGGCAGTTGGGCTGAAAACACCTTTAGTTGAGTATATCTTCATACACTTAAAGCAAAAATATATCCAACATGCACATCTTCACCATTTTTTCCCACTAATATATATATATATATATATATATATATATATATATATATATATATATATATATATATATATATATATATATATATATATATATATATATATGCACTAATGGACAATATCTGCTTTTTCTTTTTTTTCTTTTTCTTTTTTAATAAAATAATAATAATAATAATAACTTGAATCATATGTCATACAAATATATATGCACACAAGTGATTAAACACCATTTGATCTATTTTCTTCAAATAATCATAACAAAGAAATCAGTCGTTAAAATGAAGTCCATACAAACATCTTTAACAATTAAAAAAAGTGAAAGTAACTCAAATTCTCATCTTGCAGTATTTTCTCCTTCATTTTTTATATACCTTTACAGCATAATCAGCCCATGTAAAAAATAATAAAATGTGAAACAATATTCCCGGCACTCGGAGTTTGGAAATTCAAAATATAATTACAGTAATCTTAAAATAAAGTCACATTATACTTCCTTCTTCAAACAATCATTAATCTTTTTGATAATAACAGAAAAATGCATTTCGGGATTTCTTTTGTGTGTGATGTCTAATCAATTTATTTTGTAGATTTCTTTGTGTCTGCTCTTCAGATATCCACCATCAGTCAGTCAGTCAGTCAATGAATTAATCCCATATCAACCATCAACCAATTCATTTATCAATCATTCACCTGATCTATCAATAAACCTACTACCTGTTAAATCAATCTCAGTCAATCAACTAATCCCTCTATTGATAAATGAGTTAGTCAGTCAGTCAGTCAATCAAATCAACCTAACAATTAATAAATCAATAAATCAATCAATCAACCAGTAATCATGAAATCAATAAAAGAAATCAATTAAATCAATCACATTAGACCAATTCATGAATCAAAGTATGAAGAGGATCAGTCGACTAATCTCTCACTCAGCGTGCGCAGTTGTCCCAGTCATCATGCATAAATTTCTGAATGTGAAGTAATGTGTGATTCTCACTTCCTATTAACAATATTCAAAAAGAAAGCATAAAGGAGTGAGTGCATGTGCGCCTGTGTGGGATTTGCGTTGTATGTGTGCCTATGACTCCAGACTAAGTGCGTAATAAGCAAGTGTGCACACACACACATACAGACATACATATGTAAATAATTAATAAGATTGAGACATTTTTTTTCCACAAGATATTCACTGTGGTATTACAAGGTGTTTTTTTTTTTCTTTTCTTTTTTTTTTTGGGGGGGGGTTTACCACAGTAAGTATAACAGAGCAACCATCTTCAATGTCATCCTTACGTTAGGCTGCTTTGCTTCTAACATTTTTTCTGTGCATCTACTCCCTATAATTCCCTCCTTACAAACATCAACTGTTCAAAGAATATCAATTATCTTAACAATAAAAGAATTTTAAAAATCATCTATACCTAGAAAAAACATTCTCCTCTATCATCACCATATTAATTTCTCTTTTTTTTTCTTTTCCGTCAGTAACTCCACATGCAACCTTTATAAACTTCTACAAGACTAAACCACTGCCAAGAGTTAACCCTATACCTGAAGACTTTACACATACAAAACTTGATAGATACACAGCAACTAGCTGAGACAGGCAATTCTACTACAGGAAAGAATGAATGCAACTGAGGTCTCAAACTACTTTTTGAGTTCATGGAG